GAATGGGATCTGCATCAAGATGATGAAAACTATTTAAATATTGAAGTTCAATGTATATAAAACTAAGTAGGATGTTCATTTATAAGAAAGAAATATGGAAATGTTTTACCGCTCTAGAGATATTACCCATCTAGTGTCAACATGCCTACATTTTTTGCAGATTAGTTTTAAAAGTACTTATTTAAATAGATATATATTTTTACAAACCTTTAGCAGAAGTTAGTTCTTTGTTCTTTTCCTAAATTTGCATCTTGACTTTAATCGATTTCAGAACTTTCATCAAAGTTTTCCATGTAAGTGTTTGAGGAACAAATGCTGCTGATACCAGAGCTGATCTCTGACTCTCTCACTTTGTTATTCAGCCGTTCAGCAACTTGGTCATGTCCTCGTCGTCTCCTGTTCTCTGAAATGCTCTCATATCCTGAGGCAACATCTCCACTCACTGAAACAGACATTGATGTGTTATTCAAGAGAACAAAGCATGTAATAAAGACTGTAAAGTCAACATTAAATCATTATTATATAAAACTTACTGTCAGGAATGTTACCATCATCTTTGCTCTCTGCTGTTCTCACATGAGGTTCTGTTGGTTCTTCTGGTTCCTTTTCTAAAGCTTTCATCACTCTCTCTATCAGCTCCTGTTCTCTCCTGTTCCATTCCTTTTCTATCTGTTTTGTTTGCCAAGGTAGAATAGGAAGTTTCTTTTGTTTGGGTTTAATTGTGAAGCATCCTCTGTTTTGTTTAACCATATCAATAATTTTTTGGAACAGTTCTTTGACTTGAATAGAATAATCAAAAATAATTTTTTTAGAACATGGTATCTGTTCCCACATTTCTCCAGAAGCTCCTGGAGCTCCTTTCCCTCTCTGACGATGTAATTCTCTACAGGGACGTCATTGATCCAGTCTCCCCTGGTAAAAACCACCATGCAGTGTCTCCACACTCTCTCTGTTAATGGCTTCATGATCTCCAGCAGAGCTTTGAGATCTTTCTCTGTGAAAGATCTGAGGATGGGAACAAGCAGGAGAAAAACATGAGGTCCAGGAGAACACATGGAGACACTGTGGAGAACTTCATCTTTGATCCAGTCAGGTGGTGTTGGGTCTGAGAACCAGCCTGGAGTTTCAACAACTGAGACTTTTACTCCATCAAAGTTTCCTTCATGTTTCACACAAGTTGAAGTTTCTCTATGATCTTGGTAGTTCTGAAAATATGAAAAACAAACAAAAATAAATCTACTGTACTTTACTCACTGGACACCTACAGTCTGGATGTTAGATTGTATGAAATCTTTTTGCTTTGTCAGCATGTTGTTACCTTTTTCAACCAAGCTCTGTTAAAAGTTTTATCAAATTTCTCATTGAAAAGAATCATGTTTCCAGCTACACTTTTCCCTGAACATTTCTGGCCAACAAGAACAATCCTGATGTCAGTGATTGGATGTTTCTCACCTGTAAAACAAACAAAAAATACAGTAAATATGATCTTAAAACATTTATGAAACATGACTACAACATAAAATATATACTATTTATTACTTACCTCCAATCAGCTCTTTCAGGACTCTTGATTTTCTCTCATTGATCGTCTTCAACCTTCTGGCCATCTTGTCTCCAGTCTCTCTCTTGGTTTCTAGCTCTGCTGCTCGGTCCAGCTCCACTTCATAGTAAGGATCTTCATTTCCTGCCCACATCTCTTCAATCTTCTCCAGTAGTTCCTTTACCTGAGTCTTATCACTGTGGTCCTTGTTGTTCAGGACATGATACCTGTTCTCACACTTGTTCACTATCCACTGCAGACCTTCATCACTCTCTATACGCTCCTCTACAGTCTTCACTCCTAACCAGTCTCCATAGGTAAACAGAACAAGTGTGTGTTTCCAGATTTCTTCTCTAAACAGACTCATGTGTTCCTGAACAGATCTCAGATATAATGCATTAATAGAAACTGCCAGAGGAATAACCAGCAGCACAGCATGTGGTCCTGGAGGACACAGATTCACACTGTTCTCTATTTCCAGTTTATCCATCTCACTGGTTTCCTGAAGGGTGTTGATGTAAAACCATCCAGGAGAATCGACCACTGTGAGCCGCCTTCCTTCAACCACACCATGACTGATTTCACTGTGGGTTGTTCTGCTGCCGCTATCATTAACACAGAATGCATGTCTTCCCAGAATGGTGTTGCCAGCTGAGCTCTTGCCTTCCAGTTCTGCACCAATTAAAACCAGCCTTAAGTGCTGTGGTTGGGTCATTCCACCTAGAAAAAAATAAACCAAATATGATCTAATTATTAAAACAATCTGATCAATTTAGAAAACAGAGCTTAAAAAATCATGTAGAAAGAAAAAACATAATAAATAGGTCATGAATCATTCCAGGGTTTTGCTTCCACAACCAAAGAACCCAAAGTCCTTCAAGCCACCCAGAAATATTTATCTGCCTTTGGAGTCAGATGAAGGAAGTCTTTTCTGTCTGAGCAGAAAAGACTGTTTTGTTTTTAACAAACAAAATGCCATCCTTATTCTGAAACTTGGCCATGGCAGCATCATGCTATAGGGTTTCTTCTTGTCAAGGTAAAATGTTAAATGATAATAAGATCCTATCAAGGAAGACTGAATGGTGAAACTTAAAAGACCAGAATGTTCACAGTTTTAAGAGGCACTGTAAGCCTTCAAATGCAAGAAAAAGAAACCATTTAACCTCCATATATCACCATTATGGAAAATGTGTTTGTAATTAAAAAATGATGGGGTTTAAAGGATGTTTCAAAAGTCACAATGAAAATATAGATTCCTTAAGAGGGAGCATCGCAGTTTGTTTTTTTTTAAATCACAAAAGTTGTAACCTACCTTCAATCTGTAGCTTCAGGTTGTTTCTTTGTTTCTGGACTTGATCAAACCTTTTTGAGGCTCTTTCAGTCAAATCTCTCATTTCTTTTCTCAGAGTTTCTCCTTGACTTCTGTCAACAGAACAGTGTCTGAATCCATTGTTTGTAATCAGGGTCTCAATTTTCTCTAAAAGCTTCTTGACTTGATCTCTATCTTCTCTGTTACTGAAGTTGAGAAAATGTTTTCTGTTTCCACATTGTTGAAGAATCCACTGCAGGACTGGATTTCTTCTTATTCTGGACTTAATCTCTTCATCACTACATGGAGCGACTGCAGTGAACAACACGATGGTGTGACTGAAAACATCTGCATTGAGAAGCTCCAGGTGTTGCTTTAGTGATGCTTTGACAAGCTCAGGTAAATATAAACTGACAGGAATGACCAGAAGAAAGACATGAGGTCCTGGTGGACACAGATGGACACTGTTCTGGATTTCTATCTGATCCAGTTTTGGGGTGTCTTCTCGTGGATAAACCCAGCACCATCCTGGAGTATCAACCACTGTGACTCGTCTGCTGAACACTTCCTGCTGCCTCGCTTCACTCTGAGCTGTTCTTCTGCTGGTGTTGAAAACATTTTGACCCAGGATGAAGTTTCCAGCTGAACTTTTACCTTTGAGACCTCCATTTGATTCCCTTCCTCCTATCAACACAATTCTCAACTCTGTTGGATGATTGCTTTGTGCTGTTAAGAGAGATAAGGAATTATTCAAATAATGCTAATAAGATCAATTGCCTAGTTAGGCCTCTAGGTAATGTTTTCTCCTCATTTAACAGCATGTTCTGACTACATAACCGAATAACCATTATAAAGAGCTAAACAAAAAGAAATACCTATCTAACATAGGGTAAAGTTTTAGAGTGAGTTTTATGTAAAGATGACTGACCTGGACTGGAACTATAAGTTAAAGAAGCCATCGCGCATAGTAACTTGACTACTTCCGCTGTTTTCAAAAAGCGGAAGCAAAATGTAAACCGGGAAGTCCCTTTTTAGCTTTTTTTAAAATTATATTTAAAAGTGAAAGAAACAGCCATATAGAAAAAATCAAATAGACAAACATTGCCATCTCATGTATGACTGGAGGGACTGCAAGTGTGTCGCACATTGTACAACAGGATGTAATTTACTGCGAAAATGAACTCAGTCAGAACTAGAAGTGAACAATTAAAAGTATTATAT